CAGGCTGCTGCTTTCCCCGCCCCCCTTTTTTTCTTCTTAAATACTGCTAGATTCCCTTTTCTTGACATATGAGCTTTTCCATGACTAGAGTTTCTTTTAGCTGAACTCATCTTATCTGAGAGAGAAATCTCAGGCTGGATCCAGCTTATTTTATAACTAAGCAGTGTTCCAAAATGAAGTCAGAAGGTGAAGGACTAAAAAGTCAGGCTGGAGAAGACCAAAAAAAAAAAAAAAAAAAAAGACAATATCTACTTCCCACTTTTTTTTTTTTTTTCTGACTGATACCAGCTGGAACAGAGTTGGGCCATTGTAAAGACATTTTGAAATTCATATTCTTCACTTCCCGTTGCTGAGTTGCTCTTGCCACCGGCAAGCATCCAGGGGCCAGGCCCTGGCACCTTCTTTGGCTGTTGTGTGCCATCACTAGTCCTTTCCAGGGACATGCCACTGCAGACCTAGCACTGGTGTAGCTCTACCTCCAGCAGCAGGGAGATGTGAGCTGAAGGGGGTGGTGTAACTGCTGTGTCTGTGTTGTATACAGCTGCTTTGTATGGGCGTAGCTGACGGGATGCTAAAGGTGCCCTTTTGCTGCTGGCTGCTGCTGCCGCGGAGCAGTATCTGCGTAGGAGGAAAGATGTGGCAGAGGTCGGAGACAGTCTTGTGAAGATGCTGCCTCTCTGACTCTCCAGCAACTTGCTCTACTGAGAGAAACAAAAACTGGGGTAAAGCCCAGCTTGGCCTGGGCCAGAAAGAGCAGCTAGGCTGAGGCATGTTGGACGCAGGACCTGAGGTGATCTAGGGCGTTGCCAAGCCAAGTCCTGCGTATTTCCATCTAGGGAAATTTTGCAACGCCTCCAGGCAGCCGATCCGAGCCTTTAGTTGGTCTCACAGTGGAGAAGTTTTACTTGGGTCTGGAGACAAAGTTTGGCCTGAAGCGACCTGACTGTCCACAGCGCATCCTCATGAAGAGGGTGCCTTCACCATTTCTATATTTCCAGCACTGAACGACTGGGATGAAATCCTCCTGAGCCCTTGCTTCTCTAGGCTGAATGAACCCAACCCCTTCAGCCTTTCTTCATGTGGCAAGGTCTTTAACCCTACAACCATCCTCCCCAGCCCTGCTGGGCTCTCCCCAGTTTTTCAATGTCCCTCTTGACCTTGGGGGGGACTAAAACCAAACACGGCGCCCAGGTGTGATGTGGGATAGTTGCATCCCCTGATCTGCTGGCTTCAATCTTGCTGATACAGCACAGGTACTGATATAGTCACTGCCAGGGGGTATTTTTCATAAAGGGATTTCAAAGTGCTTTGTAAGGATGTTTTAGGAATAGCTGTCAGTTTCAGCCCTCCTGAGATTTTTCAAAGGAGGTCAAAGCTTCTTCAGCCCTTCCATGTAGAGATCAGAAAAACTGTCTATTATTTTAACTGCCTTCTTCCTTTTGGCATAACAGACAAATACCTTACCTTCTGCAATGAGCAACTCTAGAAAGAAATTTACAGAGGAGAAAAGACCCCCTAGGAGAGTAAGGGGGAGGCATCAATTTTACAGATAAATGAAATGCCATGAAATCTTCAGGTTTCTCTTATGAATACACCTCGTGAAAGGGATTAAACTTTTTCTAACCTCTTCTATAAATGAAATGCAATGTTTTTGCTTAACTATCTCTCTCAGCAACACAACATAGGCAGAAAAATGAGCCCTGGCTCTAATCTTGGTAGTTTTATCAAAAACCATATTCCAGCTGGGCAACTGCTCTACCAGATCCCTGGTGACAAGGGTTGTACCTTCTGGAGGAGAGAGCAGTGGCCTTCTTGCCCAGCTCTGTGCTTGACCAAATGCCAAACTTTCATCCGAGCAGCGATCTGTGCCTCAGTTTCCTCATGTTTAAAACAGCAGCCATGGTACTCGCCTTTCTTTTGGTAGCAGCAAGAGAGAAACGTTAGTGACCTCCACCACAGCTACCAGGATCTTTTTCTTGCGTGCAGGCATTTGGAGAGATAGCAGTGTTGCATCGTGTGACCCTTGGGAGGCCGGCCACGCTGTCTCTCGTTCAGAGCACACACACTTAAATTGCCCTTGGCAGATGTTTCCCCCATGTGTCCACAAAAAACATCTGGTGTCGTGACCCACAGCCCCCCAGCGTGGTCCTGCCAGGGCTTTGCTGCCCTTCCTGGGGGGCACTTGGCTTGGGATTTCCTCTCTGCAATTCAATCCTATTTCTCTTCCTGTCCCCAGCAGTCATGTTAAACTCTCCCATCTCCTTCACAGATACTGGTTTTTATTGTGAAAACCTTACAGCGTCTCTTCTCAGTTTTCCCTGGCAGGAGCAGCCCTAATTCTCTCCATCCTTTCCTCTGCTACGACTAGTTGTTCTTGCTGCTTTCCTCCAGGTTGCCGGTCAACACTTCCTCAAACTGCAGCATCCCAAATGACTCATTTCTGCTGAGGCCAGGCCGGTGCCAAACGGTGGGAAGTATCACTTCGTGTTTTCACACATCTCCCCACTGCACGGTGTGACCCGCTGTGATGCTCAACCTCCCCTGCAGCAGCAAGGGGCTGTGACACACGCCGACGCCTAAATTCAGCAGAGCAGCTGTGTGGCCAGGTGTTGCCTCGTCAAAGGTCTGCTCAGCCAGAAACCCATGCCAGGTTTGCACTTTCTCTTGTCCTTATCAAACTGTCTTCTGGTTTTTAGATAGTTTCTCCAGTTTGGCTAGATTGCTTTGAATTTCGAGGCTGTCTCCTGTGTACTGGAATTCCTTTCACGCTAGTTGTCATCTGCAAATTTAATAATCGGACTCCAGGCTCTGGGTATCCAAAGCATTAATGAAGATATGGTATAGTACCACAGGCTGGCTTCAGTGAAATCCATGCTTGATGCACCCTTCCAGTTTGACCAGGGATTTACTGACAATGATTCTTTGAAACAAGTTTTCTAACCAATTCTCACTTCCCTTACAACAGGGTCACACTGACTCAAGTCACCTCCGCTAATAAACACGCCACGTAAGAAAATGCCATGGCTTTACTGTAGCCAAAGCACATCTGCTGCTTACGTGGAGTGAGGGCTTCCACCTTTATCATCTCACAGGAGGAACCTGAAATGGGTTTCATATTGGTTCCTCGTTAATCTGCCTTTGTCATCACTCATCTGCTTGGCAGCTTTCATGTATTTGCAAGTAGCCTGGTTTGTTCTTAGGATGTTTTTCTGGGCACTGAAGTTAAGCCAGCTGGTCTCCCGTTGTCTTGCCCGTCTATCCCCTCTCTGTGAAGCCAGGGACTCCATTTGCCCTTGGTGAGTCTTGCGTGACCTTGGTCACCCTCCCCGCGTTCTCAGGTGACCTCAGCCAGCTCTGAGACAACTTCTGCCAGTGGTGGAAATACCTACGAGGGAACTTCGTTAGCAAATATTTACCTAAACTGCCTTTTTAGATCAATTTTGATAGCTTTCTCTTTTTTTTTTTTTTTCTTTTAGTACCCTAAAATCTTAGTCTTTTGATGGCAGTTCTGTCAGCTCTCTGATCACACTCGATCCTTTCAGTGGAAACAGAAAAAGATACATTAAACACTGTCATTATTGGCATTGATAGATTTAAGTGACAGAAGCGCAAGAAGGGAAGGGACTACCTGGTTCAGTAAGCCCCATCTCCAGTGGCCGTCAAGCAGAACATGACGCGGAGACCAGGCAAATCTTTCCACCTAACAAGCCAAACCCCCCGTAACGTGTTCCCACCAGGAAGCTGTTGCCCTGCACTGCTAACACGGAAACAGGCTGAGCTTTTGGAGACCTTCTGCCCGCCGTTGTGACCCAGGACCGTGCTCCTACTCACCGACACGCCTCCAGGCGCCACAGGGGCCACGGCTGGAAAGGGAGGCCGGGGGGGGGGACACACAGTCCCCCAGGCTGGAGGTGGCTTTGGTGGCCTGAGGAGTGACCCCCCAGCGTGGGCCGTCGCGGCCAAAGGGCCTCTTCCCCCAGCCCTTGGTGCGAGGGGGGAGAGGCGCCAGGCTTTGGGCTGATGGTGGAAAATACAAATGAGCTCTCCGGGAGGGAGCCTGCAGGATAACGGCAACGCTCACCAGCTAAACAGGGTTATTGCTAACTTTTATACAGATTCTTGTTCTCCGTTCAAGGGGTAAGACACTTAATTCAGGGCTTCGCCCTCTCCTGCAATGACCCCTGATTCTTTTGTGACTTGTCCGTGGATGGCGATGCTGTCTCTCGCTCTCACAATTTTTTTTTTTTTTTTTTTTGCAGCGTTTGCAGCATCATCCCAGATCAGAGACCCTCAGAAATGTCCCCAGGCTGTAAAAATGGGTTAATCATCCAACAGCCTCTTATTTCCAATTCAGCAAAGTATTATACAAGCAGTCATAAATGCTGATCTTTGAAAACAAGAGCAGCTTCACATGCAATTGTTTAGTTCCACCAATGTACAAAGCAAAAATTTTTTTGGAATGCTACATTATTGTTATTTTTTTTTAATACTAAGTAGTCCTTTAATGAATGTTAATCTCTGACAGATGGCTCTGTCCATCTGGCACTCTGAAGAGTGTAAGAGTCTAATTTATGTGGAAAACTTATTTAAAATTGTATATTAATTAGAAACAACTAAAACAACTGATCTTTTCATCCTGGGAGTGCATGATGGTGCCAAAGCACCACTAATAAATTCCACTGCCAAGAAGTGGGAGAGAGTTTGCAGACAGAATTGATGGCATGAGCGATTTTTCCCCCTTTCACAGTTGTGAAATATTTCTAAGGGAAAAAAAAAAATCCCGTGAACAAAGCTCAGTATCCCGCACAGGCTCGCTCTGGAGGAAAGCACCATATCGGCGTCTGCCTCGCACCCTGGCACGGACCCTCTAGGAAGTCTGCAGAATGGCTCAAGTAGGGAGGTGAATCCACGTGAAGCCAGGCTTTATCAGTTCTGCTGCTCACGGAGCAACGTCAATCGTGCAGACGTCAGCTTGAGAAAAGCTAAAAAGGCAGGAGAGATACTGCAACAAACAGTTGCACAGGAATTTTTAATAAAACACAGAATTTGCCATCTTCAGAGCACGATCCCACTCCCGTGGTGGCCCGTGTGGTGAATGCCCTTGGATTTTGGGGGACTTGAAGAGGTTGTTATGTTGCTCTGGGAAACTGAAATGTTATTTGGATGTGATGTTGTGCTCAAAGAATGGAGCAGCACTTTGTCTGTGACAAAATAAACATGATCTGTTATTTCTTTTAGCATCATCAAATACCCAACCTGAGAAAGAATACCATTTTTAAATTTGTCCTGAAATAAGAAAACATTCTGTGTCAGTTCAGAAAAAAGTTCTTTCTGTCTGCAGTGGGCAAGATGATTGTCTTACCTTGAACCACGAAGGGGTTAAAGTTTGAATACCGTTTCACGCTGAAGTAAAAATATTATTTTGTCCTGAAGATCAGAACAGAGTATTCAGTATTCATCCAGCAGGCTGATCTATATTTAGAGTGACAATACACAAGGTTTTCTTAGCAATGATAAATTGTTTTCTACAAAAAGAGTGTCCTAAAATTAAATCCTTAGTCAAGACTGCTTTGCATTAAAAAAGTGCGTTCTCTTTACAGACTTCCAAGTCAGGTTAGCCTTTTAAATCTGTATGGAAAAGTCTTAGGTGATATATTAAAAAGGAAAGTAATCAGGCTCCTGCTACGTGAAAGCAATCTATTTAAGTGTATAATTCCACTAAACGCGTATTTTCTGGTGGTATTTTAATCACGGAGTATCTGACAGCCAAAGCATCCTTTCTATTAAAGTTCAATGGGATGAGTCAAAAGGCTCTAGAACGGACTTCAGTTCCTTTTAAATGCTCTGTGATCATTCCCTAGCAGTGAGAGGCAAGAGCTCCAGGCTGCCCTGCTCAAAGCCAAGCCTCGCCGCGTGGCGGATGCCGAGGGGGGGAGAGCTCTCAGGGTGCCGGGCTGTGCAGATCCGGGGGAGCCGACGGTGGAGCCCTGGTCCCTCACACCCTTCCTGCACGACGACTGCGAGGCCGCAGCAGGCAGCCAGGGCTACCGACACGAAAGCCAGAATCTCAAGCTCATGGTTTTGCTGTATGAAGCGTGGGAAATTCGGCACCCTTTAAAGAGGATTGGGCACCAGGCACACAGGAGCCTCTAGAGTTTGCCGCCAGGAGATTTACTGGGAAAGGTCTGGGGTGAGTGCCCTCCTCCAGATCTTGGGTACCCAAACCTGGGTCCTGTCTTAAGGGTTGATGGCATCCTCTTGCCTTTCCAGAATCAAATAATGTTCACTGCATCCTTTAAAAGAACACAAAAAAAAAAAAAAAAAAAAAAAAAGACATTGGTGTTAACGCCTAAATTTTAAATTAGTGGTTTGAACACATGCTCATGAAATGAGACACGAGTTTTAAGCCTTTCTCAGCTGGAGGACATTCCAACCCACATCAGAGAGAATCGGCAAGGAAGAGCCTGTAGGTGAGGGATGAGCGAGGGCGCTCGGGGCACAGAGGGCAGGTCTGCTTACACATTGCACTCTAGACTTTGGATGAAAAGCAAAATCATTTTGGGAACACAGATTGGAGCCTCCCTGGCCTCCTGAGTCATCCTTCCTCCTGCCTTGTCTCCTCTTCTGTGCTTTGGAGAGCTGCGTTCGTACCCGACCCTGTGACAGATACTTAAAATTAAATTATGGAATAAAACTGCTCTGGTAGAAACCTCACAGAGCCAAGGCACAGGTGCTTTGTAACCGAGTGTGAGTTACTGGGGTTGGCCACGTACTCACAGCCTTCACTTTCCCTCCATCTATTGCCTTTCTGGTAAAAACTACCGGCATCTCACCCCCACTGAAATCGATGTCCTCAGCTCCACGTCTCTATGTGAAAACACACGCGGTGGTCACAGTATCAGCAAGCTTTCGCTCCCCACGTACTGATTTAAAAGCTGACTTGCAGTTCTCCCCTCTGGAAATACCAGCTCAAAAGGGTTGCAAAGCACTCAGATATTTTCAAAGCGAGCGGCCCCACTGGGAAAGGTCCTGCGTGAAAGCCGCGCTGTCAGCTGTTTGTGCCTCCCCGGGCGCAGAGACAGCCGAAATCTTGTGTTGTAGAGGACACAAACCCTGATAATTGTTTTCTGTGACCCTCGCTGGTCAGGCCGAAAGCAGGTCTGTCTTTGGTGGTGTGAGAGGCCTGAGCCCAATCCCTGGAGCAGCACAACGTTTCTGAAACTTTAATAACTGAAGGAGAAGATAATATAATCCAGCAGCTATTTAGAATTAAATTCATAAGCAGATCTGCCCTTCCTCTGCCAAGGGTGTGCTCTGCAGAACTGAGGCATTTCATTGCAATTATCATGCTACCAGAGGGTCTCTCAGAGCCCTGACTCCCACAGTCCAGGGAACACAGGACGATCCCAGAATTGATTAAAAGTAATAATTCAGTTTCTAGCTGTCATGAGCTAGAGAGAAGCTGGAAGTTGTTACTTGGTTTTGGTTAAAGGGTTCAAACAAGCAAAAGGTCATGGGTATTTTCTTTTCTCATGTCATTATTTTTAAAACTAGCCCCCTTGTATAAAGAAAGAGCCTGATTTGTGATTTTTGGACATGGGTGGTTGGCAATTATGTGACTAGGACTACCCTCCCCGGCAGTGCTCAAGGCCAGGCTGGACGGGGCTTGGAGCAACCCGGTCTAGTGGCAGGTGTCCCTGCCCGGGGCAGGGGACTGGGACTAGATGATCACTGAGGTCCCTTCCAACCCAAACCTTTCGATGAATCTATGACATGCACATTTTGGAAATCAGGCCACTGATGTCCGTTTGTCAGCTAAACCTCCCCAGATCTGGCTGCACGGGGTCTGTTCTGGACACACTGCTGGGTATTTGTATTTACATTGCAGCATCTGAGGTTACCCGTGGTGTCTCGAGCTATAGAAAGATACGGTTTTCCAGGGGTGGTGTTGACAGTCAGGCTTGTCAACACAGGGGCTTGACGTTCACAGCACCTCAGGGTATTTTCAAGCTCAGTTCAATTCCTGTAGTTGAAGCCTTTTGAAATCTTTGGAATCGCTGCCCAGAAGAAAGCACAGCTAGAGGACAGGCTGCCCAAGTGACAGCTGACCTTCTGTCTTAGGTGTTCCCTTCTGACAGGAACTATTTCCCATAGACTGCAAGTAGCACGTCATAGAAATAACAGTTGTCTCATGTCAGCAGGATTTTTTGTACTATCATTAAGCTTCGCAAGACTTGACATACAGACATGGGGACGTAACAGAGCAACCAGAGCCCTCCACACATTCTCCACTTTTTCCTCTTACTCTCATCATCAAAGGAGTAGGCAAGACTTGTTTCCTCTTCTCTCCCCATTTCTTCCTTTGTGTAGAGAAAGCGAGTTGACCAAGCCAGTCTGATCACGGAGCAGTTGAAAAAAAGAAGGGAAAATTCATAAGAACCGATTGCATTAAATAAATGGATTCGGAGAGTTATGCATTCATGATCATCAATGTGAGAAAATACCCAATTCTCTGACATGGGAAGCTCATTCCCCCACTACCAATACCTAAGCCAGGAAGGCAGGTCTCACACCTTGCTGTTTGCTGTTACCTTTGCGTGTTCCTTCGCTGGAAGGCTTGTGTCCTGTGTTGTGACTACGAGGGAGTGCAAGCTTTCAGCCAGAGAAACCAATTCTGAGGCTTGAACACAAGCTCAGCTGTTGTCAGTACAAAGCAACATTTCATTAACCTAGAAACTGTTACTGAGGAGTTTGTCTGAACAATAAATGATCTAGGATGTCTCTCCCCTATTTCATCGATCTGGTTTAACTCCCGACTAAGGGGTGCTTTTCACTCCGAGCACGGGGTGGAGAGTGTCCTTCTTTGAAGTTATTTTCAAGTGTTTTTTGGAAAAACTGTTAAGAAGTGTGATGTTTTCTAATCTCCTTCTCTTTGCAATAAAATTACCAACTGCAGAGGCCCCAGCCTTTCCACAAGAGTGCGAAAGGCTGCTCCTCCACCCAGTGCCAAACTCCTTCCTGACAAACCTTCTCTACTTTTATACTGGCTTTTTTAGATGCCAGTTATAGGGCCTGTAGCTCAAGGGATCTGCAGTAAGCTGGCACCAGGAACCTGGACCAGAGCTGAGCCTAAGCCATGTTTTTCACGTTTTGCTGTTGGCAGCACTTTCAGCCCCAGCCAAACCTGAAAGGGAGCGGAGCTGGAGCTTTTGACGGCTCAGCTCCCTGCTTAACACGCGGTGCCCAAAGTGAAAGACAGCAGGTTTTAAATGGCACTGGTAAGTGTCGCAGGGTTTTACTCAGTTAGTTCTCTGTTTCCTGATCCAGGGGGAAGGAGCAGCAGCAGGCAGAAAAGGCAAGACCACCCCCTTCAGTGGCAGCACCAACTAATTAAAGAGGTTGAAGATTAGAGGACCTGCGGCAAAGACGCAGCTCTTGATTCAGTCCTGAGCAGTGCACACGGCCAGTAGGTAACTATCTAAGCAGTACGCCATACAAGGGATAATAATGTATTAAATCCATCCTTCTGACAGAAACAAAAAAGACAAACACACCCCCAAACCCCACAATAATGACTTTAAAAAAAAAAAAAAAAAAAAAGAGGTTTGTGTAAAAATCGTAGAATCATAGACTGGTTTGGGTTGGAAGGGACCTTAAAGATCATCTAGTTCCAATCCTCCTGCCAGGGGCAGGGACACCTTCCACTAGATCAGGTTGCTCAAAGCTTCATCCGACCTGGCCTTGAAATGAAGAAGCTGTTTGATAAGAAATTAAAAGGAAGCTGAGGATAATATGCTTACAGGAATCACAGAGATTGCTTAAGGACACCATTTTAGAAGCTGAGAATAAATGCGTCTCTCTAATGAATAAAAACCGAAAGACCCCTAGTAAGCCAGTCAGTGTGGTTAAACAGCAGAAGCTAACAAAAGTTTACAAAAAAGAAGAGACAGGTTATTTCAAGCAAGGAATAAAGCATGACTGTCAAGTTAAGTGAAAAAAAAAAAAAAAAAAAAGAAGCTGGACCAGACAAAAGATTTTAAAGAGCAAGTCACTAAAGGCGAAAGCTAGTATTAAATGTTTTTAAACACATCAGAAGCACGAAATTGTTAGGTTGTGTAATAAAAGCTCATCTGCACGCCTACAAAGGAGCAGAGAGGGGGCAGGGGGCATATAACACCCTGCCCAGCCCCTCCCAGGCCCATCAGCCCGCCGAATGCCCACCTCATGCCCTCCACCCCCAGATGCCCGAGGAGCACAGAGGCACGAGGGCAGGTGGGAACCCAGATCAAACATCCTCGAGGAATGAGGAAGAAACTTCCCTGGACCCCTCCCAGGGCTGTCCCAGGAGGGCCACAGCCCCCCCGTGTCCAGGCCTGAAACCCCTCAGGTGTCATCAGGAGCAGCTCTCCGGATCTCCTTTTGGCCTGCAGGACACCTCATGGGATGCTAGGGAAGAGCAGTTTGGAATTGCACCTGACTTATTCTGAGATGTTTAGAGGAAGAACCAAAGGTGGGGAAAAGGCAGGGATTTAGGCGACTTTGGGTGCTTTGTGTGCATGTACCTACTGGGAATACATTTGCAGCCTCACTCCTGGTTTGACCTGGGGCATGGAGCTGCGGCAGCCTCGCTTCTCTCAAGCTGTCAGCTCCAGCAGGATAGCTTCTCCTCTAAGAGAAACCAGACAGAAGTCTCTGTGACTGACAGGACATCAAGCAGTAAAAGGAACAAGCAACACAGGCAACAGGCCATGGCAGGAAGGTTAGCAGAAAAGCTCTGGTGTCCACTGTGTTGGCCTTTAGCCTTTCTTCATGGCAAAGAAACTTTCTAAAACTGAAGAATAAATAAATGAGACTTCAGAGCTGATTAAGGTGAATAATGGCTGGTTTGCAGGGCCAGAAGGTATTCACACCAGAGTTCTGAATATAGCTGGAACTCAGATAGAAAGTCATGAAGTTACTACTTGGATATATGATCTATCCAGACATAATACCTCAGCTGTGGTGCCACAGGAATGGAAGGTGACAGATGTGACACTCATTTTTAATCCAGGAAACAGTTCAGCAATCTTGACTTCCACTCAGGGACACGGCACAGTCTCAGACTAGAAGTAGTCACCTAGATAAATGTGGTGTGTTGGGAAAGGTCCCATACTGCGTAGAGAAAAGCCATGAGGTGTGTTAGATTCCTTTGAAGCTTTTTAAAAAGAATTAAATTGCCAGGGGTTTGGGAGGAAGATAATTTTATGTATTGATAACTGGTTGTATAATAGAAAACGAAGTTTTCTCAATGGAGAACGGACATCAGTGGAATCCCTCAGGAATCGGTGGTAGAGCCTGAGCTCTTCAGCATACACATAAACAACCAGAAGTGAGTGAACATGGAGGCAGTAAGGTTTGTTGATTATAAAAGCTATTCAGATGCACTGTGCCCATCTGAGTTCAGTCAAGGTTTTCAATACACATAATAATTTGCAAACAGATCCTTAACAGTGAAATACACAAAGTAATACAAAGTTCAAGACATAACTGAAATATAACCCGGGCACAAAATAAACAGCAGCTACAATCTGGATTTATAAATAGTCTCATCTATGTCATTTTCAAGTAAAATCACATACAAACCTGACTGTAGTACTATAAATCAGTACTACAAAGAACTGGCTATTGTAAACCATCCCGTCTCTTTAAACTGGGAACAGTTGGCCCTGTGGGCTGGCTGGAGTCCGCTGTCAGATGTTATCTTAGCTTCAACCAGGCAGCTTCACAGGCTCCTAGAAATAAAGGCTGTAAAGGGGCTTCTGAGACCAGTCAGTCCACTGGCCTAAGGCTGCATCACGTCTGCTTGAACCATTCCTGAGAGGCTCACGTTTCAAAGACCTGCAGCACCGGGGAACCCAAAGGCTCCACTTTGTAGCCCTTCATATTGTAACATTTTCCTTAATGTTCATCTCGAATATCCTTTTCAGTAACTTAAGCCTACTATTTTTCATTGTGAAGATGGGAAACAGATTATTCCTTGCCTTGCTACAGCAACCTTCTATGTATTTAAGGCCATAAAATATCTTCCTGACTTCTTCAGTCTTCTGTTGGCCTGAGAACACAGTTCTTTCAATCTTTCTTCTTAATTCATATTTTCTAGATCACCAATCATTCGTGCTGCTCTTCTCTTGACTTCCTCCATCTGCAGGGATGTCAGCCAGGCCAGCACAGGCAATATTCCAGCTGAGTTGTTACCAAGCACTGAGCAGAGCAGAACGGCTCATTTCTTGTCTTGCAGTCTATATTCTTGCTTGTACAAGAACAGTATTTGCTTTCTCGCCACCAGAACAACACCGTTGATAAAAGTTCAGTTTCTTCAATTAACTTATTAATCCTCTCATTGTTTTCTGGAGAGTGCTTCATAGCATTTCCAGCTGTGATTTGTGACTTTAGAGACCCATGGACTTTCGGTTCATTACCTAGTGACAGAGCAAACCCAGAAGAGATTCCAAAGAAGCCACCTCTGTACGTTTTACATTTTAATAGTGAACAACCAGCAGCTACTCCGTAGTCACGCCTGCAACCAGTTTTGTACTGGCCCTATGGTAGTTTTGTGTAAACCAGTGATTTTGAAATGATTGTCTTTAGGCTTTGATATTTTCCCCACCATTGGACACTTTTAAGATTCAGCTGGAGAGGGTGCTGGGCCATCTTGTCCAGACCGTGTTTTTGCCAAGAAAGGTTGGACCAGATGATCCTTGAGGTCCCTCCCAACCTGGGATTCTATGATTCCATACGGGATTTCTGAAATGTAGCGAAGAAAAGTAGGCATATTTTCAGTAATTAAAATTTACTATGAAGGACTGTGAGCTTCCTAACCAATCTACATTAGAAAAGATTGAAAAGCACTCATCTAAACCATGCTTCCCTAAATTACAAGAGTACCAAGTGAAACAGCTCCAAGGAAGGCCTGGACAGAACCACAGAATGTGGAAACTCTTGCTTTTGCCCTTTCCACAAAACATGTCGTTCCTATTGCAGAAGGAAAGCAAACTGGATTAACATTATTTATACTTGACAGACCTATCAGAGCCGATACTCATCTTCTTTGTCTTCCAGATACAGTTTGTTCAATTTTTTCCATCGAGATTTTCTGAGTGAAAATTTCTTCTGGTCAATTGATAATTTCCCATTTCCATTCTTACACTTTTAAAAGTTACCCATGATGTCTTCCATTTTCTCATCTTCAGACCACCCTGTCTGCCCTCTGTCTGTTTGCAGAGGTTGCGGCATTCTGAGGTTACTTCCACCACGTTTTCAGGGTCTCAAGCTGAAGTTTATCAGTCCTAGTCCACTTGAAAAATTCTAAATTACCCAAATAATTTCTAACTCATTCTTTGCCTATTTTAGAGTGAAAACTTTCTCCTTCGCAGCTGATACTGATTTTTTTCAGATACCTGTTTCAGATACTCTCGCTCACTCAGATGCAGCCTAAAACAAACAAAATGAAGAGGTCAGGAAGGCGATTTCACAATATTCCTAACCAAGACTCAGTTAAAAAGAGACTGTAAGAACTCGGTGAGAGCCAAGGCCCGTCTCATTTCCTAGACATTATACAATAACTGAACACAGGAGACAAATGCAGCCTTTACTCCAAAAGCACCTGGAATACAGACCAAGAACCCTCAAACTCCATAATCAAAACACATCCATCATCAACAGAAATCAACCCAGTGGAAGAACCACATGTGTTTTAGGCAAAAGTTGCATTCTCAGAGACAAAACCCAACTGAGAACAAAGGACAAATGATGAAGGTTCATAGCCAAACCACACACAGTTTGCAGTCTATTTGCCAAATTCTTCACCTCAAGAAAACAGTCAGAGAAGGGACAAAACCATTCCCTGCTTCATTCCCTGGAGGTTCCTCTATCTCTCCTTAAGCCTCAGGGTAAAGTCCTGGTGATAACTAAGCGGCAAAACTTTTCCCCAAGTCTTTTTCATATGGCCTGAAAAAAAAAAAAAAAAAAAAGACTAACAGATCTTGTGAAACTCAAGTGGCAAACCACTAGTGCTGCGTGCCATCCTGGGAATGCAGCTGCTTGAGTCAAGGGTCAATGCGGAGGGAATCAACTCCTGTCTACTCTTCACGGATCCAAAGCTGAGACACTGTGAGGATCTTGATGAGATCTGGTGAATCACCAGTGGACGCGTGTTCTGCAAAATGTAATCAGGAAGAGCTGAGCCCCCAAGGCCCTTCACAATGCCATTTGCCTTCTGTGCCCCATGATCAAGGCAAAAGGGAGCTGGTGTGAGGGGCACAGAAGCCAAGCCCAGACTACTTACCCCAGACTTCGTCACCCTACAATCCTGTAAGATTGTTTTTTGCTGTTTCTTACTTGTGCTAGTGCCAAAGGTTACATCAAAAGGGGGTTTTGTTAGCCCTGTGGATCCCAGAAATTCTCCACATGGTGGCAAAGACCCAGGGCTGTCTAGTCCATGTGTTGTTTACAGAAAATTAATATTCACATTCCTACTTCCCAGTGCTGCTTAAATGGAGGGAAAGCCATCCCTCAAAGCAAACCCACCTCTTCAGGAGAAATCCCAACAGTACCACAATTATGTGTTTTATATAAGCTGAGTCTTAGAAAATCATGGGAGGAAAAGGTTTGAAAGAAAATGCGAGCTATGAAGCACAAGTTCAAACTCTTATCTACAGCTCTGTTAGAGACAATCAAGATAGACAATAAATTATCTACCATTGCATTAAAACCCATCGAATGGGCCACAAGGAGAGTGGCACTAAAACACTGTGAGTTGTACCGTCCTTCCTCAGGGTGGAAATGTTACCAAACCTCAGCCAAGACTAAATCACCAAGCAGAGAGGATGCAGTGCCAAATCTTTCCCGTGTAACATCTAGGTAAGAGTGTTCCAAATCACTTCCCCGGACTAAAAGGTCAGTCATTAAACAAATTGCCAAAAGAACAGATTATCCCTGTGGAAGAAACATAAACATTAATTAAAAAAAAAAAAAAAAAAATGTTGATCAAAAGACGAACTCAAAACATCAATAAAAAACCTGGAATAACTTCCTGAACAGAAATCTAATCAAGCCAGAGCTGCAAGCTCTACACCACAACTAAGAAAAACTTCCCCTCCCTACTCAGTGAACCAGCCAGCGTAATTGTCTTTACCCAAGTGCACCTCTGGCATAAACGAAAAAAATCTATCGTCTCTCATAACATGCACCATGATAAGAAGAGTCTCTCTAAAGAGATTGGATCTGCAGAGACCCACACTCGGACTTGTTCACAAGATACTTTTTACAGAGGCTAAAAAGGAGCCAACTGCCCAGCCTCAGGCAAGCTGCTGAAGCCAAACTGGTGGATAGCATCACCACTGGCCCACCAGGCACAGCCGCTATCATTCTCTTTAGCCTGTATCATTGCTAGTTGCCAGGCTTTAGGTATAGAGACAGGCCCCACAACACATTGTTCCGACAGGTAAAACAGGGTCAAATCTAGAAACAAACAACACCCCTACCCCATCTTCAGATCCATCCAAAAAACCAACTGAGCATATCCTCCTCAGGGCATGGTGAGACCAAAGGCATCCCGGCTCCCGGGCTCGGAGCTGTAACCCTCTGCCAGGAGGGCTGTCACTCAGACCAGCAACTCACGACTCACACGGAAATCACACCCTGAATGGACACAACTGGAGACTACTTTCATTAACATTAATCACAAGAGAAGTTTCTAAAGCAGCATCCTTGGGCCTTGCCTTTAAAATGAGACCTCTCGCATCTCAGGTGTCACGAGAAGACCCGGATGGGTGGGAGGAGGGCCAATTGCCCAGCACCAGCTGCCGTTGGAGGCCAAGAAACTCTGGACCTTCTTCTGCGTGGCAATTCCTTCACTCCTAAATAACAAACTGGAAATTTGCTTTGGCGACCGGATGATGGCGAAAACATGACGCATGACATGTTGGTACAAGGATTTGCTTCAGCAAATTAATTTTAAATCTTGCCTTTGCAGCAACGGGTAAGTCAGTAGCTCTTAAATCCATGCTTAGTGTAACTTTTTTTCTGAGATAGGTTTGAGAAGACCCACATGCTTCAAGGTAGGCCCTCAGGAACACTGAGGTGGTTTGAAAAGAGAGAAATGCAAGTGGTGTCATCAAATACCATTCCTCTGTTGGTTGATTGGATGATGATCCTTGGCAGATAAGCCACGATGTGGAAAGGTCTCACACTGCGAAAGCACAGCGGATGGCTCGTGGCTAGAATTTGGTGCAGGTGGATTAAAGCCGAATGGGACCAACAGACATGCTGGAGAGGGAGACAGACATATAAAACCCCTCCGTCTATTTGCTGTGCACAACTCTACGTAGGTCCTATCTGCAAAATGGCAGTAGACACCTATGGTTAGGGAGCAGCATCCCAACCTTCCCGTACCTCCTGGTTTCCTCTGACCTCAAATTATAGTCTGACTTGAAGAGGGCAAAGGGCAAAAAAATGCCACTGCTCATGTTACTCCACCTCGGGGCACGGGTGGCCCTCCCGGCAAGCCTGCCTCACTCCGGCTGCACACCGTGGCAACCTCTGCTCTGTCTGCATCAGGACCTACCCCAGCTGGATCAAGCTTCCTCCTAAGGCCACAGCTGTCAGGACAGCTAATGAGGTGCATCCGACAGAACTGCTCTCACAAGGCTTCTACAAGGTGTTGTTAAGACTCGCTCGCTGTCACAAAGCAGAGCATCCGGGCGAGGCGTGAACTCCTCTGTGGAAAGCCTTGATAAACCATCGAGATGCCAAGATGCAAATAAAAACGAGATGCAGGACGCAGTCAGACCCTGAAGGGGCTCAGCAGTCGCGGCAGAGCTGCGTTTACTTTTCAGTGAGCTTGTGCATATCCACAGGGCGTGTAAGCGGGGCTTTACAGCACAGCAAGGTCTCCACCACAGCTCTTGCTCCGTCTGCTGTCTCAGAGATGTGGACAGGGATGAGACCTGCAGTGGGACATGACAGCTCGGGATGCCTTTGTGTATAATTTCCTAGGATATTAAAGTGGCTAAGGCATCCTTCGTCGCTTGTGCCTCGCACCTTTTTTTTCACTCTGTTATCCTGGGGGAGATAAGCAACGAGGTGCAAGTTCCCATGCACAGGTGGAGCTCCAAGAAATGGGACTAGGCAAGAAGGGCACGGCGTGACCTGTGCCACTCGTGCCAGTAGCTGGGAGAGCTTGACTGTGGGGTTTCCCGTCCTACGGGAAGGCTGGCAGAAGGTGCCCTAGAGCTGAAACGGGCGATGCGCTGCAAGGGCCCCTCCATCTGCTGAGAGGCACGTGGGCCCTCACTGGAAGCTCCTCAGGATGGCAGACGCGTAGTGACCTGAGACGAAGGCAGTGCATCTGTCTGGAGATGGAGATGAACTGCAGTCAGTCCTCTGGAATCTGACCTGTTACTGGGATGACTCGGCTGGGAGCAAATTCCGAGCCGGTGAAAGAAATTCATTCAATCCCAAGACAAATTCTTGCGGCTTGAATCTTGTTTTCGTTCTAACTTAGAATGAAAAGTCAAAATCTAAGTGAATAAAAAGATCTAGAATAAAAATTTGGAAAGAGAAAAATGTATTCACAGACACAGAAACCACCTTATAACAGCACTTCTGACATAAAAAAACCTGCAATGTAACAATGAAAGGGAAATGAAAAGGCTGAAAATAAATTGAGAGTCTTGGGCTGCAAGCTCCCATTTTAAGTCATCTTTTTAAGCAATCTCTAATTATAAGTCAATCCAATATTATTATTTTGAAATTTTGCATCAGAATTGATACATTCCCATTAAAATATGAAATTTCAGGGAAATTAATTTTCCATCTGTTTTGAAAATAGTGGAGGAAATCACGGCCTTTAGTTGGTAATAAGTGATAACAAAGAGTTCTTACCAATCTGGTCTTCAAACTTGCATTTAAAAGGACTGCTTGGATGAAACAAACTCTTTGGAAGCAATTGATTTGCATTGAGCAAATTCCCGTTCTCGCCAGCTGAAGCCGTAATTTGGGTCAGATGTCTGGGCAATTCACAGCTAGGAATAGATGAAGAATTGTTGAGATTTGCTTTGAAACCCATGATGGAATGAATTTCAATTGTCAAAATTCTTGTAAAGTTGAAGCAGAGTAAGTTCCTGCTGACTAGAGATTCATGAAAAAATAGCTAGCAGCAGCAGAATGGAAAAAATGAGTGGCAAGAAGCAAAACCAGGGCACACAGCAAAAGCTTGAACAGGAAGCCCAGTCCTTGAGAAACATTTTGACACCCAGAGGAGGAACCTATCTTCGGTGGGATCTGTTGCCCCCACACTGCAGGCCAGGGGCGCTTTCAGAGCAGCAAGGGGTTCACTTTGTAATGCACCGGGAACGCAGCACTGCTCCCCTGCTAAAAAGAGAGACACAAATCCTTACGAGACAGTCTGGAGCCTGCAAATGAGAGACGTAGAGCCCTTGCTGAAATGGGTGGTGACAGCTGAGTGGCGCTTGATTCTGTAATTGTCTGGGCTTTTCTGAGGCACCTCGAGTGGTTAGGTGCCCACTTCTCCCTGGCACCCAGTCGGGCTGCGGCGGGTTGCTTCCCTACACTCCTTTCAACATATTTAACAGTGATGACCAGAAAGAGGTGTCCTGGGTTGAGTGAGTGGTGGAGTTTTTTGGTGGCAGGGGAGGGGGCTATCGGGGCTGCCCCCTGTGAGAAGCTTCTCGAAGCTCCCCCAGCTCCACGTCAGCTCCACTTCTGTTTGGGAAATTGAGCCAATCGGCTGCGCCTCTGCGATAACGTATTTAAGAAGGGACGTGGTGACGGGCAGTGGGACTGGTGAGGAGGAGTTGCTGCAGCTGCGTGAACACCAAGGTCAGTGGAGGAACGGAGGAAGAAAGGAGGGGGGAGGTGTGCCGGAGCAGAGACCCCCCTGTATCCTGTGGGGAGACGGCAGGGAGGCCCCCCCTGCCACCCATGGAGATCTACGGTGGAGCAGACATTGATTTACAGCCTGTTGTTCCTGCTCAGCTGATCAAGGTTCTGTGCCCGAAGAAGGCCGGGGTCTCATGGGAAAAGGCAGCCCCGCTGCTGTAATTCAGCGCTGGGAGGATTGCAGCATGCGGGGGAGTCCCACGCCGGAGCAGCTCGGGAAGGGCTGCAGCCGTGGGAGGGAATCCAGTCGGAGGAAGTTAGTGACCCATGACGGAGCAGTGTGGGGAACGCTGCAGCCCGTGGGAGGGACTCATGTTGGAGAAAGTTTGTGGAGGACTGTCTGCTGTGAGAGGGGGACCACGATGGAGCAGGAGGAACAAGTTCCGGACACTCCCCTCACCGAACATGAAGGAAGCGGCAGCGCTGCCTGCACCCCCCATTCCCTGCCCCACTGGGGGAGGAGGTAGAGATATGGGGAGCAGAGCTGAACTCGGGAAGAAGGGAGGGGTGGGGGGAAGGTGTTCTCAAGATGTGGCAATGCTTCTCACTGTCCTACTCTGGTATGTGTTGTTAGTGTCTGTAATAAATGTATGGGTTTTTTTCTTCCCCTAACGAGTCTGCCTCTTGCTCGTGATCATAAAAGGGGGATTTTCCCCCATCCCAGTCCTATCTCGAACCCCAAGCCTGGCTCTCTGTCCCTTCTCATTGCCGGAGGGGAAGGGAGAGAGAGAGGTGCTGCATTGTGGTTGGCTGCCAACCAGGCCTAAACCACGACAAGAGGCAATTCATTTTCGGGGGGGTGGGGGAACCTCTTTTTCTTCCGACGCGGGAAGGAATATCGACCGCAAGATATTCTCCTCAAAGGAGGGTGAAGCCAGGCGGGTCTAGGCGAGCTCGGCTGCCCCGGGGCCAGGAGGCAGGCAGCAGGGCTTCCCCAGGAGCCGGCGTGTTGTAGGCGCATGGACATCGTGAGTCTCTGCTCCAGGCAACAGGAAGCCAAAGCCGAAGCGCACCCGACGCCTCCTCCCACACAGGTATACCCGCTGGACTCCGGCCAGACTTTCTCATAGTTTTCTAAAAATCCCAAAGAAGAGACTTTTAAAAGCACCGTAATTTCAGCGACAAACAGAAGGTGTAAAGTCATCCTGCGTTTAGCGGCTGCTAGAGCTAGGAAGTCTTCCCAAACCTTCCCGCAGCATCCTACCGTGCACACCACAGACATGACTGCAATTAGACGAATTAAAACTTCTGTGTGGAGAAGGAGTATGTGTAACAGTTGACTCATAACGGCAACCATCAGACGCAGTCGCTCAAGAAATGACAATTTCTCTGACGCTTTTCAGATGAGCGAAGAGCATGGAAATAGACAAAAGGAAACCCTATTCGGTCAATACTGACAGTGCTATGGTAAGGGCAAAAAGACTTTCCAAACACAAAGTAAACCCAAATTTCTTTTCCCAAAGTAAAACTCACTATTACTGGCTACTGTTAGATAAAGCAAAGAAATTCTGCCCTGAAATTGCAATTAAATTTAAAACACATCTGAAATAAATAAATTTTTGATTACTTTTTTGGCACAATGACAGTCCTGGTTTTCATCCAGCTCATATTATCTTGTGAACCTTTCTGCTGCACCATTCCTTTACTGGCAAATATGCTTTTCTTTCCTCCACAGAGAAAAACGCAAAAATATTTCAGTTGATTATACTACCGACAGAAATGGAAATTCAGTGACACTGTGCCTGAATGTATGTACACCTTGGCCTTGAGGCAACAAAAACAAAGCTTTGAATATAATTGTGCTAACAAAGGAAACGTGGCAGGTGCTTAGATCTACTCCAATTTGCTCTTATGAAGTTTTGCACAGAAAAGGAGAAAACGATCCTTTGCCAACTGATCCATATTTTGAAATGAATAAGTCAGTGGTAATATGTTTATCTCTAGTATGTTCAGTGTAATTCTGTCACCTCTCAAAACCTTGTAACATCAAATTTACAGCCCACACTGGCTGAAGGTATTCAATACAATAACGTATCACAAGATAGGCTTCTGCGTTTTTAAAACAGTTTTGGTAACGTAGAATTAACTTTCAATGCCAACTTTTATGTTCCTTTTTTACAGAGAATTCTGGCTCAGGAACTGTTGTTAAAGAACAGGGCTGAGAATGTTATCTTTGCTGTCCAAGCAAACACACACCTCTCTACAACGTGTCTTCTGATCACCTTTCACTGCTAGATTCAAAGTAAGTTAAAAAATTCATTATTTTCTTTTTTTATCTAAAAGGAAAGGTGCAGAATGAGATGGAGATAATTAGATGGAGTGTATGAAAGTACAAAAAAGGTGTTAAAACTGAAACAAAGAAAACAGGAAATGTCACAGAGCAGCCAGCCTCAGAGCTATACAAATAATTGATTAGTGGCTTTTCTTGATCAACAAAACTAGGCGACATTAGATTTCTTTTAAAATTTGAATGATACATTAGCTTATGCTTTGAAGACTTAAGCAGCTTTAGTATTAATACTAGTTTTTCAGATTTTAAATGAAAACATTCCTTCGAAATGCATAATGGACTTATTTGACTAAACTTTTCCCTTCTTTTGCTTCTCTTTTGTTGAAACGTTGAACTGAACCTGAAAAAATTTCTGTATTTCTTTCTCTGAATTGCTTTAAGCTACATGGTCTACAAAGTACTGGAACAGTCTCTGGTGCCAAGATGTTTCAAAACTCCTTTGGTTGCATAAATATTGCATCCCCCCAATTCCCACATCCCCATATTGCAGACATTAAATGGTGTGTTAATAGTACTGTTATTTTGAGAACTCTGATTTTATCTGCTCCCGAGGTGATAGGCTTTTCAGTAAGTGGAAATCCGAGAAAAGTATCTTCTGAGCTACAGCATCAGTGTTTGAAGAATGACCACGGATTCTGGAAGATGGGAAGAAAAATGGAAAAATGTCAGGGCATGGCTTGAAGCACTGGGGAGATTCCTGCCTTGTGTTACCAAAGCATATTGTGTTTTAGAAGTTTCTACAGGCAAATGCCTGCTCAGTAGGTGGCAGAACAGCAGAAAGCCCTTCAAGCCCTTCCTAGCAGAGCACAGGAGAGGAGAGGAGGCTGCTCAGTGCATCCGTGCGTCGGGCAAGTGTGTGGAGACACTTTTCCCTTCAAAAGCAGGGGGCAGGGGCATTGAATGGGAGCTGGCGCCTCTTCATGCACCAATTCAGTAAAAGCCTCCAACCCTTTTAACAAACATTAATGGCTTGTTATGGCACATTATCAATTCTGAAGCTGCTGTACATGTGTTTTTAATATGCCATGGTATTTGTAATTGAATATGACCTCCTGTGACATTAAAAATTTGACTGTCTGTCCCAAAAGACATCCACATGTTTTAGGAAGGACGAGTGTGCTTCAATAAACCTTTTAACCAAGAACAGATGCTCAATAAACAAAAAGCTTTTATTGATTTCATAAATAGCAAGACAATGTCAACCCTGAGCCAAGCAAACTATTGCACAGCTTACCAAAGTGCTACGGTACGTGTGTAACAGAGAATGGTAGTTATACACCAGGGGGACCATTACTGGTCTCCTAGTCTTGGGACTGGGACCAGTGAGAGACAACTGTCTCTCCCCTCAGCTCTGTCAGGGATTGCAAAGGATTCCCCCCCCCAGGAACAGCAGCTATGGAGGAACGGGAGCAAAAGGGCGCCGTGGTCACGTTCTGCATCTTTCCTTCACGTCCTCTTCCTTGCGTAGTCACTGCACAGATATCCTCTTGACAGCTCTGCAGTCATCCAGCAGTTCTTTTGATTTTCCATCCTGTCGCATGTGTCTCGCCTCCCAGTCTCTCAGTCATATTTGCCATCTCCTGGGAATGACTCATGAGATCAACAAGCATTTCTGTGTAGGCCATGCCCAGGCAGGGGTTAGCAGAACAGAGAAACCACATAGTTACATGGCATAACAATGTTAGCCAACTGCCAGCATAGATAAAACGTTATTTTCCCTTAATTTTTTTCAGTTTGGGAATTTAATTTCTTTTTGCTCTTGCCATTGCGGGGAGTGCCTGAAAATGGAAAGGCATTCTTCCCGTTAAATCTCCTGGCAAACTTCTTGCACCATTGTTATGTGCTCTACTTTAACACGCTTTTGTCAGATGAGTTCTACTGGAGATGATCTGATGGTGATGATTCGATTACATTATCCTTATTTTTTTGGTACGGATCCATTGCAGTTCACTGGTTTGGCTGCAGCACCTGGTGCCTTTCGGGAGTGATTTTCCCCCGCATACGGGGGGAAATGACCGCTCTTGATCGGTTTTAGCATCCTGTGATTGCTGGGAAGAAGCCAATGGAGGGGCACATCTCCACGGAAGGACCCCTCAACAAGTTGTTATGACAGAGTCTGATCCTCCATCAGCTCCTCCGTGAGCTCTTTGGCATACGCCAATAACGTTCAGAGGGAAGCGGGACGTTCAGTCCAGGCCGTGCCAGAGCTGTGGGATTAGGCAGGCCAAGCCCAGTACCACCTCAGGCCTCGTGGGATGTCAGAGGCAGGAACAATTGTAGCAGCAGTTGCTCAAGCTTGGATATACATCAGCGTGACATTTTCACGTATTTTGCTTTCAAATCTGAACAAAGCGGCAAAGTTCTTTCCAATTATTTTGAGAAAAAAAAGATTAGTTAAACTGGAAAAAAAGGGACAAGATCAGTAAAATTTTTTTTTTTCCTTTTTTTTTTTCCCTAGAGGAAAAAACAATCCACAGTTACTACTGTGTTTTTAGTTGCCTATAATGTTTCAGCAGTATTTCTTCTACATTCAAATGTTTGTATTATAACATAGATGAAGAAAACTAATTTGCCTAAGTAAAATAAAATAAACATAGCGGAAAAGGGGATACATAGATGCAGTTTGTTTCCACTATTGCAGAAGCCATTATAAGCAGTGACAATAATAATAATGCCTCTGCTAAAAGTTGCTACACTTCCCTATCTTCTTCCTTCCTGTATTTTCCCTGTTTGGTATCTGCCTAAGGCTGATAAAAAGGATAGGTGAAATGTTCAGCACTTCTGGGGACATCACTCCTATGGGAAACACAATACATTTCCCTCCAGTTCTAGGCAAACCAAAATATTTTAGTTAAAATATGATAATTTAAAGCAAAATAATTCAAAAATCCATTCTGAGAAAGATACCATTCTTTCCGAGGGTGAGGTGAAGGGAAAATGAATGGCTTTTCCCTCACAGAAAATTCTTAAAACTAGTTTGTTGAATGGAGGAAAAAACCTCCATGTTTTAGAGCTGGCAGTTTTCACTTGGCAGCGATTTACTCTGGTGCCAATCCCCACTGAAACGTAGTGAAACGTGTCCCAATTTCACACTTCAGATGACTTGTGTGCTCTTTAGAAACTTTTTAAAGTTTGCCAGCTAATTCTCCAAACACCCTTCTGCAACGTGTGGCCTAATCCCTGCCAGCAGGCTGCCCATACTCGATCTCCACCCAACGGCTGAGCAGCCTCCATCCCACGCCCGAAAATTAAGCAGGATCTTTCTCACCCTCCTCCTGAGGTTTCCCCAACGCCCGCGGTGTGTGATGCCAGGGTGGGTGCCCCCAGCCCCGCTCAGCCCGCAGCAGGTCAACACCCAAAGGCGGCACGTGCTCCTTGTAGCACCAGTTCCATCAACTCAAGAGACGTTCGGTTACTGCCGCTCCGCAGATCCCAACCAAGCTGATGGCCTTTGCGGCAGCTCAGTTAGTTCCACGTGAAGATGTTTGACTTTTTTCAGTGTTCAGGTTCGAATGTGATGTTTAAATCACTTTTTTTCTTTTTTCCCCAAAGGTTTCCAGTCATAGTCTTTTAACTCCAGAGTAAGATACTGGTTCCAGTTCATATTCTATCCTCTGCGCAGGTCAGTTCTCATTCAGTTCTTAACACAACCAGAAGCTGCCTATTAGCTTTGTGCATTAACTAAACTACAGCTGACGTGTAGTCAGGCAGCTGGCTGGTGACTGAAGAGTCAGTCCGTGCCTGTCCAAGAAAAGTAGATGTTTCTGTATCCAGGTCTGTCTTACAGCGAGGAAAAGGCGTCCTTTCCCAGCGAGTCAGCAGAGCAAGTCCACAGGTCTGCCAGCTACTTGGTAACAGTAAGCAGTTAGATAAATTCAATGGGACTGATGGAAAGTAGAGTAAACGCATCATGCAAAAACATATATTTACAATTTCACACATTAAATTGCCTGTGAATTTGTAAAAATGCATGCTACTTTGATATATAATACAGGAATTCAGAATGTTTTCCTAAGAGAAACTAAAATTTGTCCCGAATTGTTCCTGGGCGTGCACTAGTTTAAGCGCTCATTCTGGTTTTAGAAATTTAATTTTAGTGCATTTGAATTCATATTCCACTTGTTATTGCAATTAGACATTTTTAGAGTTTCTATAAAGCTGTAAGTAGACATTTGCTAAGTTTTAAAAGTACATGAGTTCTGTATGCTTGCCAACATGTAGAACTTCTAAGTTACAGGACTTGGCATATGGCTTAACGCAGGCAAGGTTGCTTCTCTCCTGTCACTGACACCAAGTGAAAATGTTCTCAGTTTGTTCTTTTCCTTTATGTAGGTCAGCACTTCAGCTATAGTTGTCCTCTAATTCTGCCAGGATCATGTTGATCTTATTCTAGTTCTCGTAGTAAACGCCATAAATGTTGATTTTAGCTCTAGTTAATGGTAACAATACTCCTAACTTTAACTTGAACAAATGTATGTGGATCTTCAAGAGAATGGCAAATGCCCCAGCTCTGAAACAGAGCCTACATTCAAGCACTCCCAAACAGCAAGTCCCTGCCTCCAACCACGGTGCAGATACAACTTAAAGAAAATGTTGCCAGAATACCCCCAAGAAGAGGTCACGTCCCCTTCTCTTCCCCCACCCCATGCCGAGTCTCAGTGCGCTGTTGAGCTGTGTTGGTTTTGGACCAGGCTGGTAAGTTCCCTGTGAGGGAGAGCGCAGCTTACAGGTGGGTGGTGGAGGAAGGACACAGATCCCACCACCGTGCTCCACGAGCAGGAGGGGCCTCCCTGCTCTGCTCAGGCGTTCAGGCTATGCCAAGCCTCTGAGGACGGCTGCTGGCAACCCCGTTTTACATGGGACGAGATCTGCTGACAGGGGACAACGTGCCTTTAAAGCTACTACTCCAGAGATGCAATTTCTGGCTCACGTGCTTCCTTCCTCCCACCCCTTTCCACTCACCCCACCTTTGCTACAAGTCCTTGGGTGTTAGTAAAAGGAACTGGGCAGTGAGCCTTACCCAGGGCTCTGCAGCATGGCTGCACGGCGTATAGGATGCCGGTGTCAGGCACAAGGACCTCTGCAAGAGTTGGGGCAGTTTGTGGTTCCCGAATGGACAGCAGGACGGGTGGAGTCACTGGACACCCTCATGAGACACATCAGGAGCACGTTAAACAAAATAGCAATCTAAACAGTCAGTGTAAGCTTGGCACATCCCCTAGCTCCCGCCAATCCTTTAGGCAGGCATACTCAGGTGCTCCAGAAAGGACGCAACCAGAAAACAATCAAACACTTCAAATACCTACTGAACATACAGATTTCTACTTCTGTACAATAGGCAAAACAGAGGCAAACAGTATTATGGCCCCTCTATTACCACCACTACTTGTATACCAGGCTTGCAAGCACACAAAAGGGAAGTGATGAAACAGAAGAACAACCAAAGGTGCTTAGGACAGAAGTACGAAAAATCACACACTATTCCTAAAAGAATGCTGCCAGCGGTAAAATAAAGTAATTACATTTCAATAGCAGAGTCATAAAATCAGTGTGTCCCGTGTTGTTTAAGGCTGTGCCAGGAATATGTCAGCCTCACAGACTATGAAGTCAGAAATGCTTCATCACTGGTACAGCTTGCTTTGTCCACCAAGGCACATCTGCCATGAAGCACTCCTGCTAATGACAAGGTCTTGCAGGGTTGGTGACGCCCACTTACTTTGTTTTAATTCCTTGTGGTCTATTTTAAGCAAGTAACTCATTGTATTGTAATGATCAAGAAACTCATAGTCCTCAATACACTAGCCTTCTTACAAACTAGGGAATTGCGACTTAACAGAGTGCGGTAATTGCCGTTTCACAAACCAGGGGCTGAGGGAAAATGTGACAGAATAGCTTGCTCAAAACTACCTGGGGAGTTTCTGGCAGATCTGACAAGTGAATGTAGATCTCCCAAGTGCTGTGTAAAATACCGAGCCACTCTTTTGCTAAACTTCTATTGTCTGCTCAAGCATATACTTAGGACAACAGCGAAGTCTGAAGAAACAATATGAGAAAACACATGTCCCCAGGGTCTCCTCTCAAATGGTACTGATTAAATCTAACACAAAATGGTAGCCAATGACTAGTATAATATTCCCTTGAAATCTAAGAACAAAGGCCATATCCAGTCTTTCTGAAGTCAAGAGGAGTCTTTCCAAGCAATCTCAAAGAATTCACAATGAATTGGCAGGGGCGGGGAGGAAGCATGTAGCAAACAGATTAAGCGCATGTTAAACAGATGATGTGATGATTAAAATATGAAAACCACAGACATGGACATAAAAAAAAAAAAAAAAAAGCCATAATGTTTGCTGTTAGCTGACAGTTCAGAAATCAGTCCTTTCAGCTACATTGTGTCACCTGGTAACCCTGCCTGTACTGAGCACTTCCCACCAGGTACTTCAAACATTCTGCTTGAATCCACAAATATATCTCATCATGTGTTCAGCACACAGATGCTCTGCCCCCATGTCACGCACCTTTCCTTCCTCACATTTACCCCTTGCAGATCTAGCAGCCGCTGCTCTCTGCTCAAGCCATGTCCACCTCTCCTCGTGTCCTCCCTCCAGTTCCTGCTGGCACTTCAGATGCTGGACTGCAGATCTTCAGCTGGAATGACAGGAATCTAATTGCTTTTTCCAGATTTTTCTGTAAAGGTAACACAAAGGTCTGGGTGCCTTTTATTACCCAGATGGTGCATTACCCAGATTCTTACCGTAACTGCGAGACACAACCAATTCTCATTCTGCATGATACTTTCATAAGGGTCCATCCACTGCTTATTATTTTGACAGAAGTGAAAGCAGAAATTGGCAAGTAGGGATTCTCCAGTCAGGCTTTTAGAAGTCACAACACAGCAACGTGTGGTGTCCTGTTACTAGATCAGTGACAAATATTAAATGAGCCAAAATGAAAACAAACTGTGAGGATAACAAAATACACCAAGAAATAATTAGAGATATAATCAAGGATATCACCTTCTAGCAGAACAAGTCAAATGAGACTCTTTTTCTAGCTTCTACATGGCAAAGTCTTTACTGTCACCACTTCCCTATTTAAACTAATCATATTCAATTATTTACAAGTAGGTATACAACCACAAGCATGCAACAATCCACCTGATTATGTGATCACATAAACTTTCTTAAAGATTCTCGGATCATATTATCTTTACTGTTGCTGCAAATCTAATGGAACCATTCAGTGCAGTATGTGAAAAGCTGAGCTCCAGAGGCTGGGCTGGGAAGTGTATGTGCTGGCAGCCGCACTGGTGGCTTTGTGCCTCTATTTACTTTCTCTGGCTTCTGCCAGAGAAACTCATCCACGCTCCATGTGACAGGTGGAGGTGGCTGGGTACTGTTAGTGTGTCACGCTGTTCTGGAGAGAACTTTATTTCTAGGCTGTATCCTGACTTCCTGAATGGCCAACGAAGTGAACAATATTTCTGGTGTGAGCAGTAGAGCTTCATAAGCTCACGCTTACAACCAGAACAGAAATTGATTTCATAGATCCAGAAATGGCTTCTTCTTGCTTCTCATGGACTCACTCATTTCACTCTCTCAAGAAAGAACTTATCTCACCTTATTGGAGTACCTAACAGAGGCCATTTTATTTTATCCAAATACTCACCTGAAGCATACCTCTTGGAAAGGCAGCCAGTCTTACTTGGAAAGCATTAAGCAGTGGAGAACCAATTGCTTCTCTCTGGAAGTTTATTTTATCATAGTCACCTCCAGCTTTAAAAATATATGACTTTTTGTATTGAAGTTGGCTGTTTTTTAATTCCAGATACTGGGGGTTTTTTACACATTTTTCTGATAAGTGAAAGAGTCATTTAGCACCAAGTATTTTACCTCTGTGAAGGTACTTTTACATGTATAAATTCACCTCTCAATCTTAAAAAACAAGTAATCTTAAAATACTGCTCTATGATTTTTTTCAGACCTACGGTCATTTTATGGCTCATTTCAGCACTTTTGGAAACATTCTTTATAAAAAAGTTAATGGCAGATTGGAAACACAATTCCCCTTGTAACTGACACCATCACGTGTAAATACCGGATGGATTTAAAAGTACCCAAAGTAACTCAGAGGCGGGTGGAAAGAATTGAAAAGGTGGAAACAGAACTCCCCTTGGTTTCAGGCGAGGTCATGAAATGAGGGTCCTCATCTTACAAGGCACCGTGTTAGGTCCCACCAAGAGAAAGCAAATACTTATTCAAAACAGTTGTTCACACTTGCTTAAGAGAAACAAGTGAGGTGCTGATCTTACGCACTCTGTGAAGACCAAAATTGCAAAAGATTGTAAGAAGCCAAAAATCAGCAAGGAGCAATCCTGCCAGGTAGGAGAGGGAGGATATCCAGGTTCCAAGAGTCAATTTAACAGATGGGGCCTCAGTGGATTTGCAGAAGTTGAGGCTAGAATGATAAGACACCCTTCATTACTCTTTTTGCTCAGATATATGGCTCAAGGAGAGCCATATCTTTCACTATTTATATTCTGCTGATTTGATTTACCAAGTTGTCAACTGTTCCACCTCTTTAAAAACGTAACAAACAACATGTTGATTTTGTGACTATCAAATTTGTTTTAGAAACTGTTAATGGCTTCAGACTGATGTAGAGGAATCTAGTTTTTCATTAAAAATAAATGCATTCTGGCAACATTTGGCTGCATCTACTCGGCTGAATTGGACAATGCCATGAATGGCACTAGAGGGCAACTGTTAAATTGATAGAATGACCCTTGGCACAGTTTTTTTCCTAAACCAAATAACTCTCAGCTGGGGTTATAATGCATGCTTTGGCAGTTAGTGTTGGCAAGGGCCTGTTCCCTACAGACAGCCTGCATGCAAAATTGATCCAGGAGTCTGCAGAATGCCTGGAGTATGATCACTGAAAGATGTGACACGTTCCGTTCCTCTCAGTGGGACAGGTCCTACTCCAAGCTGTGCTTTGAGATTGCAGTTCACATGCAAGTATTCTCAGCTGCTTCACTAATGGTTGTTTTGGTCCTGATTTAGATGAGGCTTATGCACTCACCCAAACTAAACAATTTGTATCCGTGACACAGCACTATCATCTTAATTTTATTGCAACTTTTACTTTGAGGTTTGTCATAATGCCCTAAATATCAGGATCAAGAGATTACATAAAGACATTAGCTTCATTCAAGTCTTGTAATTCTGGCAGAGTAAATGATTGGAAATGGAAAACAAAATACCATGAAAGACTAGCAATCTGTATGTATAAATGTGATTCTATACACTGTGATTATAATCACAAAACCTGTGGTTAAAATGAAAATGCACTGAAAGGACAAACAAATCCATCCAGTTACTGAAATAAACATGTTAGCAACATTCAAATAGTAAATGGTTCAGTTGATAACTTCCCTAACTCAGCTGAAGAGAAATTTCCACAGAATTTAACAGAATCACAGAACAGCTGAGGTTGGAGGGGACCTCTGAACCCCCTTGCTCAAGCACTGTCACCTAGAGCAGGTTGCCCAGGACCACGCTGAGACGGCTTCTGAATATCCGTCGCCAAGGAGAGACATCTCCACAACCTTTCTGGACAACCTGTGCCAGTGCTCCGTCATCCTCAGATTGAAAAAGTGTTTCTTGATGTTCAGATGGAGCCTCTCGTGTTTCAGTTTGTGCCCAGTGTCCCCGGTCCCGTCACTGGGCACCCCTGGGAAGTGCCTGGCTCCGATGTCTTTACCCGCTCCCTTCAGGTGTTCTGGGCACTGATGGGATCCCCCCGAGCCTTCTCTCCTCCAGGCCGAACAGCCCCAGTTTTCTCAGTGTTCCCTCACAGGAGAGGTGCTCCAGTTCTCTCATCATCTTAGCGGCCTTTTGCTGGACTCTCTCCAGTATCTCCCTATCTCTCGTGCGACACCGGGGAGCCCAGCCCTGCACACAGCTCTCCAGGTGCTGAGCAGAGGGGAAGGCTCACCTCCCTTCACCCGCTGGCAGCACGCCTCCCGGTGCAGCCCAGGATCCATACCATCAGCCCTCTTTGCCGCAAGAGCCCAGTTTAGAGCTGACTTGCCATAAAGTACTGACAGCTAATACTGCCGTGCTACCGCAGTTCTGAGAGTTCACGATACTATATAATACAAACAGGCGATGACACAGAGATGCTCATGTCAATGGTCTTGTGCCTCACACTGAATTACCCAAGCAGCCCACTCTGTCTTTCTGTGAGTAAGGGCTTGGGCTACTCTTTTTTTTTTTTTTTTTTTTGCAGGCTACCTATGGTTTTCTAGCATCTGAGGATTGCTGCAATTCAGACTCCAACTGTGGAGTCTCCTTAGAGACTCCTTCAGGAGGTAATTTGGGTACTGGGAGTAGATCAGAGGAGCCAAAGTGGGACTGCTGCCTTGGTGCAGAGCAAACAGGCATAATGAAGCAGCACAGCCAGCTAGGAAGGTGGGTGCTTGTTGGTGAGAAAAGAAAACTTTCCATGCCTCCCAGTTACACAAAACAGTTGCTAGATTAGTTAGCAAGCCACAGACCTAACGTATTCATCAAATTTCCTGTGTCTGAACTTACCAACCACCATAAGAGCTCAGAAGCCAAAACCTCTCTAATTCCCGTGGTTGGAAACAGACCCTACACAGGTAACTGAGGTATAAATATGCATCTGCAGGACCTGGGTATGAATTCACTGCCCATCCAACCCTACACAAGGATGCCAGCCCTATTCTGTCTAGGTCCTGTCCCCTTCCTGGGCTCTCTGTTTCCATGGAAGAGAAACTCAATTGCACCGGCTGGAAGCTGTGGCATACTTCAGGCAGGTCCCTGATTTTAACAGGGAAAGGCTTAGGACCTCCAGGGAAGGCATGTGCAGCCCAGCAGAGCTGGAGTTCCCACAGGGTGCCCGCACTGCTGGCTCAGGCCACCCAGGCCACCGAGTCACAGGCCCGGCAGGCCACAGCAGCGGTCCAGCGGCAACCCGGGCTGCTGGGATTCAGGCAGGGAAACGCAGCAGCACAGCGGCTGCTTTACCTCATTTGTTACTTCCACACGTGGCAGGTAAGGGGGAAAAAAAATATCCCAAATCATGGCTTGCATTTCCCATTGTTAGGCCCCATCTTACACTGTTTATAGCTTTGCCAGCTCTAACCATACAGTCTGAAGTTTTCCGGGTTTGGTGGCTGCTCAAAGTTTTTGGAAAAGGTCAGCCAACAATTCAACTGTTTCTGAAAAGAAAGTAACTAACCATGTTAAAAAAATAGTGACATGTTCTTTGAGCTGCTCTAGCACCCCCAAGCTTTGGAGCATTCACATGAAACTTGTCAGGAGGTGGCCTTCCCATCTGGGACATGGCAAGCAAGAAGTCTTTGAAAATATGTGATTTACAATGATCAAGAGAAACATGTCAGAGTTTATAGCTAATTTCCCAGGAGCAACTGTCTGCAGTGACAATGTCCCAGCTTCTGGTGAGCGCAGAAACAGCAGTTCTGTGCTGTGTGGACTCCGTGCTTTACACCAGACAACAGATGAGGAAGATTCTCTTGTGCTCCTTAAGCTCCCCCTGCTTTTCGTTCTGTGATTCTCTGGCTCAGCTTCAATGAGCCAGACAGCTCGAGTGTGTTTCCTCATCTTGTACCATTCAATGGCTAGCATGTTTTAGTGCTAACAAAACTAGGTGGGGCAGTGTTGGTCTAAAGATATCTTTCTTCTCTGCTGAAAGAACTGTGTTCTCAGGGATCAGAATGTGAAAAAAAGACAACACAGCAAGAATGTCACTAGATAAAAGTAGATGAATCAAAGGAGAGAACTGGGGTTCAGATTCCAGTCTTGTGGCTGATTTATATAGACACTGTTCAAGAAAATCTGGAGTAAAAGGAAAGCCAGCTTTAAAATATTGTCTCTCCCTATTGTTTGTGGGCTTTTCTTTGTCATAGTTTTTCTATGCATCCCAGTAATGATGCAAACACACTATTAAAAAGAACTTGCTGCAAACCTCTGTGTGCACTAGGTTAAAGTGAATCCTGCAAGATAATTTATTCTTCCTTCTTCACACACGCTGGAGTAATCTGCCCTGTCTTCCTCAAAACATATTCTCACACTTCTGTCAGTGTTAGGAGTACAAACAACAGCAGTGACTTATTTATTAAATTTCACAAGCAAAATTAATGCACACTTCTGCAGTTTTAATTGTTCTTCTACAGTTGCTTGCACAAGTCACCGAAGAGGCCCTTAAAAATGTAGTTTTACTAGCCACACGTTGTTTGGTTCCTACTCTTTCTGTGCATGAAAATCTTTGACTGAAGGGAAATGAATTTTCTCTTTCTAAAAGTGCTTTAAATTTCACCTGCTGGATCTAACATGTGATGCAAAGTGAGAGTCATGCAGCTTCTTATGTCAGTAGATGACAATTCCTGCTAAGTAGTAACAGATTACTTGTGACTGAGCGGGAAATGTCCATATCGGATTATTAACCATGTGCTCTTGCAACATTAAAAATTATATGAGGAGAGCACAATAGGAACTGAACCATGAGGAAATGAACAGTTTCGTATTCAGCATGGGATACATATGATGTCAAACAAAGTGTCAACAGCAGCTGATGGCTCCCAATGTTTCGTAACTTCAGTCCAGCTACATTCAAGTCAGCATTGGAAAGAGAGTTGTTCAAAATTGCACCAGTGCACGTGCAACTTCTGGGAGATCTAAGGAACTACCTTATACAACTGTTCATCGGATTGAGTGTTCTAATTCAGAACTTAATCCTGCAGCCCTTCCTAATGATTCTGTACGTGCACCTGCAGGGACCGCACACCTAACGGTACTCCCTACAGCCAAGCTCCAGATCCTTCTGGTAAAAGTGACAGACCACTTGTTACTTCCACTGTGCTCTGATTCTGGTTTCCAGGAGCTCTCTCAGCTAAGAAGTTTCTCTGGCCCGCAGCAAGGCCAGCAAGCAGAACCATCCTGTTCTCACCCAGAGCCCCCAGAGCAGGGACAGACACCACGGGACCAGAGGAGGCACAGGCGTGTTGGCCGGCGGCCAGCTGTGCTTTGGGAACGCTACACTCCAGCTGTTCTGGGATCCCACAGTGGGCCACACCGACCCTTGGCTACCTCCTGAACTCAGGGAACAGACCTGCAGTAGTACAAAACCACCCTGTTTTCCCTCTGTAACTTTCTTCTGAAAAGCCTCTTAAATCCACAGGCCTCTGGATTTATAAATGACCCATGGTTTTTCTCCAGATGACTCCTGTTTACAAATTTATACCTCTGACATACTTGGTTTTGTGCCTCCTGTACATTCTGTACAATTCAATTCTTCAGAAGAGTTGGATTTTTCTCTTCAAAGATAAAGTAAATCAAGAGTTCTGAAGTTTTATCAGAGATGCAAACTGGGCTTAGATTGTACATTTCCCCCCTCTCCCTTCAAATTCAGCAGGCCTGCAGACTTCACCACTGAAGCATTTTTTTCCAGCAAATACTCCCACTGAATTATTTACTGTTGAGACACTCAGAATATCTGTAATTTACTGGAGGATAAAAAGTCTGAATTAAATGGTCTGTGTTCTGTAGCTTGATTGTGCTGCCTCGAGAGAATGTCAGGGCAAGATTCATTACTGCCTAGTGCTTGTTTGGGCTGGTGAAAGAAACATCCACATATGCACCCATAGGAAAACTGAAGTTTGGTTTAAAATACAGTCTTGGTGATCCGATACAAACCACTCTCTTTCAGCACTGCACCTTGCCACCTTCTCAAAACTGATGTACACAAAGAACGCTTCTGCAGCACTGATTTCACCTTTCTCATCTCAACCTTTGATGTACTTAGGCAAGAAGAAGGAATTCTCAGGGGAATATTTGTACAACGGTTAAATGCGATGAATAATCCTGCAGTGTTTGTTTCCAGTAACGAACACAAACTCTGTGGTACTTAACTTAGAGGAGCGCCTGTCCATGGAAACTACTTCAGAGCTCTAACTTCTAGAGCAAGAGTGGGATTTCAGTTCTCCTGACACACTTGTCTGGACAACTTTTAAAGCCAGTGGAGAGAAACAGGTTTTTCTATGTTATGCTTCTTTTATCTGTTTTATTACCTCTTTCAATGAGATGAATCTCACCTTAAGAGTGCCACGTTTTCTCCATGGACTGGAAATGGTTTCTATGTGACAGTTCGCTGTTTAAACATTAGAAGAATTCCCACCCCACTCGTCGTCCCCTGTAAACAAGTAGGACTAGGCTCCTTCAGCTTGAACCCAACCAACTGGGATGATGCGCCGGGGACTACCTGAAGCTACTTGTACTGTGCTTGAGATCACAGCCCCCGCTCGCTCCTACGCTGCACCTCCTTTACAGTTTTAGTTTGAATTCAAAGCATACTTTTGGAGTGATTCCCACAATCATCTCCAACTAACTACTGAGCTTTGAGTTGCTTCATGAAACAGTCTGAGCCCATCACTGGTTCTCCTTTGCATGAAACTAACCCAGAAGACGTCCCTCGTGTGTTTCTTTCGCTAATGTGTGCTCAGTTCATGGGATCAGACTAGAGGTAGTTTGAAGTAATTCCCCATGAAACTTGCATATTATGGATGCTGGGTCCTCATATCTGGTTGCTTTGCTACAGAGCCACTTCTTTTGGACTGCACTTCTTCCCAATTCAGATACAGCCTTATTTTTCTAAAATTTTTCCTGCAGGCACCTTCCTCCACTGATGGTTCACAGCCAGGAACTGCTGCTTGAACACAGGTGCCAATGCCACAATGCCATCTGTACTGTTTTATGGCTAGCATACCTGGCACAGTTCTGATCCAGCCCAGCCAGTCCTCTTTTATACACAGCTGGGAGACGGTATGTGCCAGCAGGCAGGCTGGAGGCAGACAGGCATCTTCTGTGGGGGAAGAGTGCTCTGGCATGTGGCTGACAGCCATAACATGCCACACATCTCCAAGGCCAGAAAAGCCTTGACCTGTTTTACTTACTGTAACAAATATAACCTCAGCGACCACAACATTCTACAAGGATAAGGGAGAAATTGTCCACGGTTGAAAGAGCTCTGCTCCTCTGTTTTAAGTAACTGCCCCGTAGAATAGCCAACATAACAGAACAAGCTCCTCCTGGACTACAGGATAGTCCGTAGCCTGGTGGTTCGGCCAGCCTCTGCTGAAAGAATCCCCTTAAACAGAGGAGGCAACTGAACCCAAGTCTCCTACATTAGCACATTTGCCACTCAGAGCTTGAATAAAAAACAATCACCACCTCTGCTCCACAGGAGCATTTTGTGTGGCTCCTTTGCAGAGCTGGATCCAACTGCTTTCCTGAAAAATTACACGGATGCAACCGTAATTGATGGCCTTGAGGAGATACGCTGCAATGGCCAGTAAGGATAGCGAGCTTAATGTTCTGTTAGCCTTCCTGCAGCAATTCAACGCCCTGACAGTCCTTACCAAATAAAGATCCCTGAGGAAACAGGCAAAGAAAAGCCTAATTCCTGGACTGTAGTTTTAGGCAAACTGCTGTCAAAACTGCTTCATGTGGTTGAGACTGAAGGGTTTCTGAGCATACCCCAAAACTAGCACTGACACTGGGACCGAAGTACCACATTCGGACTAAAACTCGGGGCACTTGAAAAGTTTAAGCATCGTCTGGTTATGCCAAATATGAGCTGGAGTTGTCAGGCTCGTCAGTTTCGGGCTGGGTTTCCCCAGTCCTACCACGGCCACCTACATTCGCTAATGTCCACCCGGCCTTGAGCACCTCTCCGCCTTTTCCTCTCCACCGCCTGCCGCCGCAGCCTCCACGCCCGGGGACCCCCGGAGTCAGGCAGCGACGAGCCCGCCCTTGCGACACCGCCGCGGGGCAGCGGGAAGCCAACCCCGCCGATCCCACCTCACCGGGACTCACCCGGCCGCGCACCTCCGGGCCGGGCCGCGCCACCTCCGGGCCGGGCCGCGCCACCTCCGGGCCGGGCCTCGCACCTCCGGGCGGGCCGCGCACCTCCGGGCGGGCCGCGTACCTCCGGGCCGCGTACCTCCGGGCCGGGCCTCGCACCTCCGGGCCGCGCACCTCCGGGCCGGGCCGCGCCACCTCCGGGCCGGGCCGCGCCACCTCCGGGCCGGGCCGCTCCATCGCTCCCCCCTCAGCCCCCCCACCTCCCCTCAACGGCCGCCCTCGCGCCACCGGCGCGGGCCCCGCGGGGGGCAGCTCCCCTCAGGGCGGGCTGAGGCGCCTCGCCCGCGCCGGCGAAGGGGGGGGAAAGGCGGGGGGGGGGGGGGGGGGGCTGCGCCTTCTGACGAGCCCGGGCGATGGGAGGCAGCGCGGCGGGGCGGGGTGACCGCCGTGGCTCTAATAAAGCCGGGACCGACGGGCGGCCGAGGGCTGTTTGCCTCGCTGCCCGTCCGTGTGTCCCGTTCCCCCCACCCTCCCCCCCCGCCCTCCTTCCCCGTCCCCCCACCCCTTTTCCCCCGCCCCCCCCCCCCCCCCCCGAGCATGCAGTGCATCCCCAGCCTGGTGCTGGCCCTCAGCTCGCTGCTGGGCGCGCTGGCGCTGCTGCAGCTCTCGCTGTATCTCCGGGTGCCGTCCCGCTACGGGAAACACGAGGAGCGGCTGTGCGGGCCGCGGGGCCGGCTGCCGGCGCGCTGCGCCTGGTTCCTGCAGGAGCTGCCCTCCTTCCTGGTGCCCGCGCTGCTGCTGGCGCTGCGCAGCCCTCCCCGCCTCGAACCGCTCGGCTGCCGCCTCCTCTGCTGCCTCTTCTGCTGGCATTACTTCTACAGGTACCGCCGCCGCCGCGCAGGGCTGCCGCTGCTCCTTCCCACACACACCCCCCCCCGCGGTCCTCCTCCCCGCGACCGAGGAGCCTCGGTCCTCCTCCCCGCGACCAGCGCAGGGAAAAGATCAAAAAAAAAAAAAAAAGGAGGGAAGCGTCGGGAGTGGGAGCAGGAGCAGGTCTGGGGCGCAGCGCCGCTGTTTGGTCCCGCGAGGGAAGGGGTTGGCGAGTGGGAGGGCGAGGGAGCAGCTGGCCCGCGGCGCCGGGCTTCTTTGCTGGGAACGCAGGAGCCGGGCGGGCCGGCATCTCTTCCCCCGTCCTGGCCGCCGCGGGGCGGGGGGGAGCAGGTGGTACTGGGGTGCTTGAAGGAGGGGAGAGGATGTACGCTTCGGATTTTTATCTTAGGAAACAAAAAAAAAAAAAAAAAAAAGGTACGAGGTTTTCGCAATATTGTGTAAAAGAACGTGCGAGGTGCTTATTGCGGGCAGGGGAAGCGCAGCACGTGCGGCGCCGGCCGCCGGAGCGAGCCGCGGGCCCACGCGTGAGCGGAGCACGAAGGCAAAACCGCTACAGCAGGGAGAGAGCAAGGGCTGAACGAGCCGCGTTGCTGGGCGCCTGGCACAGGGGAAGACAAGGTCTCCGCAGGCTTTCTGTACCACAACACACAGGCTGGTTCTTTATGCTTGCCATTCCCACTTCACTACCAAAGTGCCAATTGATTTGCTTGTTCTTCTTTTTTATTTTTGCTCCCTTCCCCTTCCCCTTCCCCTTCCCCTTCCCCTTCCCCTTCCCCTTCCCCTTCCCTTTCCCCTTCCCTTTCCCCTTCCCTTTCCCCTTCCCTTTCCCCTTCCCTTTCCCCTTCCCCTTTCCCCTTCCCCTTTCCCCTTCCCCTTTCCTCTTCCCTTCCCTTCCCTTCCCCTTCCCTTCCCTTCCCTCTTACTGTGAGAAACTTTGTCATACCAGATGTCAGTGAATTCTGTAAGTTTAATTAATTATGTATTTACTAATCAGGAGCTGAGAGAAAATAGAGAGTTTTGACCCACTGTTGGTGATAACTTTGAAGAGACATAGGTCAACAGTTGTCACCTGGTGGGACTTGGTTCTGACAGATTGAGCCAAGTGTGTTTTATCTTCTGCTCCACTTCCATTTTCTGTGGAGTTCTTTCATGAGGAATTTGACTTTTGTTTCTCTGTTATGAAAAAACCTGGCTTTTCACAAGTGGCAAGTGCATGTGACAACATTACGCCATTACATTGTAAAGAGCTACATAACTTGTGAGGCAAAACTTTTCATGACTTGGTTTGCCACTTTTTAGCCCAGTGCCTATTTCTGTTTTTTAATTTGCTTCCTAGAAATAGGAAACATTCATGTAATAATTGATCAGAAATTATTAGTTGCAACTCAAGCAAAATCAGTATGTCAAAAACCCAGCAGCACTAACTCTACAGACAGTTTAGGGATAGGAACTCTAGGCTGTTGTAGGAAAATTTAAAACAGAGAATGGTTTAAAGTGCTAAAACACTATGTCAGATATACATTCATTATCACTAACATTGTTTTTTCTTTGCTGCACTGAGTCAGCCGGAGGACACTACGTATAACATATTTGGCTCCCAGAAAGCTAGATGTGTTAATTATGTATAGTCATAGTAAATTTGATGTAATGCATTCTGTTATTCTCAAAAATTTCTCATAATTTCAGAAACACAGACATCAACGAGTACCATTAGACAACTTAAAGAACTGTTACCCTACTGGTATGCACACATCTTTTGAGTCAGTGGCTTCTTTTTCAACTTTACTGCTAGATTTAGGCAGAAGCCCTGTGTTTTCATACATTTTCTTTCTCAAATAATTTGGGGGTCTTCTCATCTGTGGCTGGAGTATACTTTTTCCTTTGTAGAAATAAAATCCCTCTTTTTAATCAAGTCTGTATAACAAACAATTTTGTTTCTAATACTGCATGCTACTCCAGTTTTATTCTTACAGTGTTCAGCTTCTCATGCAAGCTACTCTGAGATTCTACTGAATCAATATTTGAAATGTTGTATTAAATATCAGTGCTCTATTGTTATGTGAAAGAGCAAGAAAAATCTCAAATGAGGAGTTTTTCTGGGTGTCACCTGATGCTATGGGGACCCGCAGGTTCTGTGAGGGATCCTTGCTAGAATGACCAGCGGCCACAGGGTTGTGGTTATAATCAGAGCTTTATTATTACATAAAAAAATTTTCACACTCAGCATAGTTTCTTGTTATCTACAGTTTCTAGCAGGTAGCATAGCTTATTGTTACACAGAGTTTTTAGCAATTACCATAGCTTACGATTAAACAGAATTTGTCTTAACTTGTGTAGCTTTCTTATTATCTAGAATTTTTATATACCTAGACTTTTTAGTCACCTGGACCCGCTGCAGATCGGGTCAAATCTTAATAATCAGCGTGTGATACAATAACTGTGATCTAGACTCAGGCGTTACCTAAAAGAACGTGAGTCACTCGGTCCTCGGAAGAAGCTGATGATGGTGGTGGAGGCGTCCCTGACTGCCGGGGGATCACGGGGTTGGCCCTCCAGCAGCAGTTCCCGTCTAAGCCCACTTGCAGCCGCCGGATTTTCTCACGTGCTGTCGCATTTCCCTGTTCCATAACGTGTGCCATCACATCCTGGCGGGCAAAGCGTCAGGGCAGTGTTGGAAAGGGGGGTAGAAAGAAGCTGAGGGGGTGTGTGTGAGATACACGATCAGTGTGCTTGCGTATTATGGCTGTTTGCCTTCTAAAATGGCATCGGTTATGCTAACCCTGTTACCAGGGGTCAGGAGCAGCAGGTACTGGTCACACTGAGTTAGAGCGTTTCATGGGCATTGATATTTGAAAAGAGGTTCTGTACTTTGCTGTAACAGCCAGACTTGATCAGGGTATTTTTTTTTCAATTTTTTATCTTTACTAGAAATAATGTAACAACAGTTTTAAAGCCTTGCGTGATTCAACTTGACTGCAAGTACAATGAGTAAAATACACAATTGATCAGTAATAAAATTCCGTTGACTTCATGGATGTAGCCCTCTGCAGTTTTTCTGACTTGAAAATTCTGAAGTGAATAAAGCTGTCCCACTTTTAATTATAAATATATTTTGTCAATCTGCTCCTACCTTTACTACCGATCATCTGACACCTGTATTTAAGCATTCCTTTATGTTTGTATGAAACAGGGAAAAATTTCTTTATATATTGTTGCATAATTTAGTGACTTCTTTCTCTCCACAGGGAGGCTTTTATCATTCCTAATTTTATCTTATCTGTTATACAAAACACGCAGAAGGGAAGTTTTGATTAGAGGTATGCTCAGCAGGAGAATGTAGTAAATAATGGAGAAACATAGATTTTGAAAGGACCGCTATGCTAGCTCTTCTGCCTTCCGATATGTTATGACCAGCTGTGCTGCCCCAGTAGCTTGTGCTTGGCTGAAGCATGTATTTTGGGGTAACTTCAAGTCTTGATCTGAAAACCCCAGAAGATGCAGAATCCGTTGTTTGCTATGGAGAATCCACTGTTTTCTTTGGTAGTGTTGCCTTCTGAACTATTTTTACTATCACTTAAACATCTTTAAAATGTCTTGCTTGAATTTGACTGGCCTTGATTTTCTCCCAGTGGTGCTGTTTCTCACTCTGTGCTAATTTAAAGCACTCCTTAGTATTCTTTAGTATTTTCTTCCCATGTTATCTCTTACACAGTAATCAGATCATCTTTTCAATCTGCTTGTTACAGAGCTGTCAAGTCCTCCATCTGCACCAGTGTGATCCAGATAATATAGCAGCACATGATCATATTTCTGATGAATTAGCTACCGCACATGATGTGGTGTTTATGGTAAATTTATGTTTTTATGGTGGATTTGTGCCAGCTACAAGGGAACAGACATTACCCGATCTGACACAGAATTAGAGTGGTGCAGACACGTGATAGCTGGTCAGGATAAAATTACCTTTTCATAAATTTAGGAACAGGTTTAAACCAGCAAAATTAATTTGTCCTGCTTTTGGACATGGTGTCAAGAAGCTGCAACATTTTTTGTCTGATCTGAGGTATCCTAAACCAGATTTATAATGTCACTGAACCACAGCTGGAGGCCCTCAATGCAAGACATTTTTTTCCCTCAGACCTCAGATAATTTCTGTGGCTTTTTTCCCTCCTCTCTTTTTCAATATCCATTTTAAAACGAAGCCATCGTTGTTGGATGTAGAATACAGTGCCAACATTCTAGAGGCATATCTGGAGACAACAACATCACCTTCCTGTTCCCATCTGCTACTCCCATGCTTACAGATCGGAAGAGTGCTTTTTGGTTTGGAGCCACACTAGGAAGCCTTGTGTTCCCAGGCTACTTTGAGCATGCTGGAGCTGGTGCAGCCACAATTGTAACCACAAGGTTACAAGGTACCATGCCTTAGGAATGGTTTGTGTTTGTATGGTTATATTTCTTTGATTTTTAAAGTAACTTTTCTGTATGGGCTTAGTGCTCGGTCATGCTGTCCTACCCACATTGATATTCACCGGTTGTCTGGAATTGGTGCCATGTGCCAGCTTTATCAGTGGTAATTTTGTCTTTATTGTCAGGCCGTTGAGGAATGTGCTGGAGTGTCGTAAGGACCACTCTGATCCTCTCCTGGAAACTCCCTGGATCCATGCTGACGGCTCCTCATGCACAAGGACTTTGTAGGATGTCTCTGCTTGCCCAGCAGAGCCCCGTGAGCCGGGTCTGGCAGGTGATGTGCTCCCGTCCAGCCCCACTGCTGCAAGAGAAAAGAGATGGCCATCTGGCTACCACCCGCTGCCCAAAGAGCCAACATCTCCCCCCACCCCAGCACAGTCCAATACAAAGATTTTCTGCCGGAGGGGATGCAAAAAGGAGGTGGATGGAGCCAGACCTCCCCCCTTCCCCGCCTTGGCCCAGGAGCAGCAGTCCTGCCGCCTTTGGCGATCCATGACAGCCGTTCCCTCTCCATCTTCCT